GCAATCACATTTTGACAGATGAAGATCTTGTTTCATTTAGAGAATTAATGCCCACCTCAGATACTGGCAAGCCCAGGGTAAGTTTATCTTAACATAGGTCTTACACACTTTATCAAATGTTTTAAATACATTACCTATTAACATACAAACATATAAGTATTCATGCTAAGACTAATCCAATCCATGATTTTTATAGAAAAATACATTTTCTATGAATAACGGGTATGACTTTTCCTATTTTTAGCAGAAGTTCGATTTTTTTTCGTTTAGCTGCAATTTTCTTCCTAGATTTCATTTTCTCTGAATTTTCCCACTGATTTTTAATTTTTTTTGCCGATTTTGAAATATATTTTTAAGCAGAAATGTGCATTCTACATATTTCTGTTTAAATTGAGTATTTTAGTACTTAGGTTAAACGGACAATTGAATAGGCATATTTCTTTTCAATTGGACAATTGCTCTAGAATTGACGGTGCTAGATTGAGATTAAATGTAGGTCTAATTTTAGATTTAGAATTCAGAATTTCTGAATTTTTAGAACTAACTTTTTTTAGTCCAAATTTTCAGCTATTTTCAGTTACATATTTATCAAAAACACGGACAACAGTTATCTAAAATAATGCTGCTCGCTTGCGTGTAGTCTAGCTCTCGATATAGCCATATTTAATTATTGATATTTTAACTCGTCCAAATCTACCGTTTCTCTCTTCTATTTTATTTCGCCACCTGAATCAGGGATGTTGCTTTTCCAATTTTTTGTGGCAATCTGATTTTTCCTTTTCAGCTGCAATTTTCCTCCGCTGACTTCATTTTGTTAATTTTTTACGTTTTAAAAATTAGGGAAAAAAACAACGGAAATAATCTCTACTGAAACAGCCCACATGCACTTTTCACATGTTCCTATTTAAATATAGTATTACAGTGCTTACGGGGATATGCGCCGTAAAAATCACAAAATTTCTTGTTTATTGTCATGGTGGGTTTCTGGCACTTTTGGATACTTAGTACATTTTGTATTAAGAAAATAATGACTTTAATGTGTGTTTAACTATATGTGTTTAAAATACCATTTTTATGACCCTTTTAATTAAAAAAATCAGTTTTTCCTAATATTACATGCTCTCTATACTCTATGAAAAGTTGTATACCCATCATCAAATTGTATTTGGCATCATTGGAAAGCGGGATTTCTCATTTATTTGATAATCTCAATTTCCATCATCTCGAAAACACCCAAAGCCTACAACCTGCTTTGCTGTTTACACAGATATGGTATTTTCGTGACATTCTTTTCATTACTTTTGGCTGTTTTTCTCATTTCCCAAGTTTTTAACACTTAAAAGCTTACTACTTTTTATTTATTAAACAATGCCCACCATATTTTTAGTAATTGTTCTTCATGCAAAAATACAACTTCTGTCACAAGGGAATTGTGATGGCTTTCATAGAAAAAGTATTTGGTAATTAATATGCAAATTTGGAAACTTTTGATTATCAAAACGGGTAGGATTTTTTAGACCTTGTAAAATTCTTATTAGTAGCTATTTCAAAACGTTGTCGTGACAATAGTTTTAATATTTACTGAAATATAAGCAGTTTAAATTTGATTGCTATGAGTAGATAAATAAAAAAGCCTTAGCATTTTTAAAAGTGCTGAAAAAAATCAGAATGGTGTTTTTTTTGGGTTTCCATGACTACCAAAATTGTTTTCAGCCCCTTTTTTTTTTTTTTTTGTGTTGTTGTTGAATACTTACTTTCATGTGCCAAAATGGTAATAATATTCAAAAGACATACAATATTAAATTGTAAAAAATAGAAAAAAAGGCGTATGTCCTTAAAGGCCGGGCGGGTGTATTTTCTTCATAAATCCCCAATATATATATAGATTTCCAACTTTCTATACAGAATAACCATTGTTGAATCTAAAAATGACATTGTTATGACAACTAAAAGGACGAGAAAAATGGCCCATTGAGGAAGGATACAACGGGCGCTAGGCTGATAGTGCTGTCTCTTTTCTCTAAACTAAAACCAACCCCCCTTTCTTTATTTGTTCTAAAATTAAAGGACCAATCAAAATACCTGTTTTATTGTGATTATTTTTTTACGTCATAAAGTTGTTTACTTTACCCAGTCGGGTTTTTCCAGTATGCAACTTTTTTACCTCAATTTTTAATTGGCATTCAACGGCGGAAGTTAGTTAGCGATTGATCGTTTCGCTTTGGTAGTAAACATTCCCTTAGTTTCAGTGCGTTGCGATGTTTGATTTGGTTTAATTTTGTTTCTCTAAGCGTCTGTGAAATACTTACATTATTTTAACATATAATTATTTAAATTAAATCTACTATTAACTGTTAGATTAATTTGTGTGAATTATCATAAGCAGTGAGAGGATTAAATTTGTTTCTTTTTTGATTATGGGTAGAACCAAACACTCGCTAAAAATAGATACACACATCTAACTCAAGTCTAAAACAAGGCACGTCTTGAATATAACTGATTGCAGCTACCTCTACTCAATCTAGCACTATTCAGACAAGTACTGATGCAGATGCAATATGCACATTTACTAAGAAATTGCTGTAATATAAGACACAGTTTTTACAGACAGAAGAAAGCAGTGCTACATCTAGTACTGATAGTACTAATCATAAACCACAGCCATGCAGAATTATTGTTGGTTGTGATTTGCTTCTTGATTTTTATCAATACATTTCCTTGCCCAGAGAGTAACTGATATAGTGGCTATTATTGATGAAAAAAAGTGTAAAGGGTTTGCTACAAGCATGGTGTGGCAGTTGTAAAAATGTTGTAAACAGTAAGTATACAACTGATAAAGAATCCAGAACAAGGCCATTCACAATAAACAAAGACATTGTCTTAGCATCTTTGGCTTTAGACATGGGACCATACAAAATATGCTGCTGTTTCTGCAATAGCAGAATTCAATTTTGAGCCCATGCATGCTATGGCACTGCTGTTAAAAGAAGGAAACCATGGTCGAAGAATAAGTGAAGGACGCCAAAAAAGACGCCTTGACAACAGCCTGACTACAGCTTTAGGTAAAAGCAAAGGGTGTCAAAAAAAAGGGAAACTAGCAGCAGAACAAGCTCAGAAGGAATACATTCAGCAGCACCATACTTCTGGCTTTGAATGTGGTCAATTTTAGTGTCATACAGCGGTAAATTTTCATTTGTGCAACTTTTTTTTTTTTTTTTTTTTTTTCGTTTTTCTCAGTTTGATGTTTTTTTTGTACCATTGTGAAAATAACTTTGTTAATAATTATCATAGCTAAACAAAATTGGCTCCAGTATATATGTTCAAATAAAACTGATAGCACACTTTTGGACCTTTTTTTTTTAATTCAATTTTTTATATTGTTGAAATAGTGAAATTTTTTTACAAAATAATGAAATTTTTAGTGATGTATGGAAAAAAAAGTAAAAAAAAAATTATCTTCATTTTTGAAAATGTAATCTATCAAAAGTCTTAAACACATGTGTCTCCAGACTATATAAATAAAGATTTCACAAAATTTCTACGAACTGTTTTTGAGTTATTTCCATTTAAAAATTGTTGCTAAAATCCAATATGGCCACCATAACCATGGCAAAAGAGGATTTAAAAAATAAAATAAAATATTTTATGCTTAACCCTCTGAGTTATAACTATTAGCCAAATATTATATGAAATGAAACTTACATCTCCTAAGTCTTGTTCCTTACAGTTAATCTTGCATGAGCGGTAGTATATAGCGAAATATATCTAACTGTATTTTAAACCCACCCAAATCTACCTTATCTCTCTGCTTCTAATTCTATTCTTTTTTTTTTTTTTTTTTTGCAATCTCAAATCAATATTGAAATTCTTGCTAAAGGCGACTATTAGGACTAGACCTTCTTCATTCTTAATTTTTAGTGTTGGAAGAGATCGAGCCTTATCTGCCAGAGGGTTTGAACTTGAGACTTTTTTCAAATTTATCAACCAAGAGCTTTTTGCCGGCTAGACCTCACCTCCATCACAATTAAGGATACGTGTCAACTGGTTATGTGCCACTTAGGCCATTGACTCCAATTTCAGCCTGCTTTTCTTTTTGGATTTGCTTCCATAGCCTTTGTCCAACCAAGAACTAACTATAAGGCAGCAGTAGTTTTATTTTGGAGTTGTCTCAGTCTCCTAGAAGAGTGGCTGTCCCCAGCTAATGAGCCTCATCTGTCTGATGTTTCAAACTAGAGACTTTACGGTTTAGCAACCATGAGCTTTACGGACTTGACCACGCTGACCCTTAGGACTAGACTAATCTGCCCCTCCTTGTAGCAACGGTGGCTCTTGTGACCTCACCATGACCCCCAAGTATGTGTTTGACTGTGACATCATTTTTATTTTTCCCCAATCAGGCATCTCAAATAGCTACATTTTTACTATGATGTATGCTATATATAGCCGAGGCCAGCTGATTTAAAAACTAATGTGAACTCATCGTGACCCCGGCCGTGTTTTGTTTGCAGAAGCAAAAAATAGGATATGGACAGTTTTTAATTTCTATAAATGCCGTCATACTTGATAACTTGGAGGGGAAAGGGCTGGTCCGTATTTTTGTGATGAGGGGGAGGGGTTAAGATAGTGTAACGTCATACTTTAACATTTTAAAAAGTGATGTTAGAAACTGAATTTTATCCTCTATTTTGTGTTTTAGAAAACTTTTACAATAAATTGTAATCAAATATATGTTGGCTGTGCTCAGTCAACATTTTAGAGAAAAAAATCGATGTTTAAAAAATATATCAAATTCAATTTTGTGGGGTGGGGGAGGTTGTTGGCTAAGGTGTGACGTCATTTTAGGGCTCAATCTGGCTTTTTTGTGAGGAAGGGACTTCATTTATGCATGACCCCGTAACAATCTTCTTTTATTCCAAAAGCATAAATAAGGATGTGGCTTGGGTATTAAAATGGTTAATTTTGGTTTTTACAAGTATCTTTTTTTAAAAAAAAAAATATTACTAATATCACTAAATGGTCAACTTAATTTCTATCACATCAACTAAAACTTTCAGCCATGCCAGACACAGCCCCCACA